TATATATATATAAAATACATAAAGACTGCGGCAAATCAAAATAACAAAGAAGATTAAGTTGTGATACTCTCTCGTTTGACAGCTACAAACTGAATACCAAATTGGCTTCATTTGCATGATTCACATAGAGTTTGTGTGTGAGTATGAGATTCTCACGTCAGCCTCAATAAACGATGAAACTCATGGGCTGAACACATTATGATTATGAATAACCCATTCTCATGCATCTGCGATTGGCTGGCAACCAGTTAAGGGTGTACCCTGCCTCACTGCCCGAAGACAGCTGGGATTTGCACCAGCATGCCTGCGACCCTCGTGAGGAGAAGCAGTATGGATAATGAATGCATGGACGTTCTCATGCAGAAACAGTCGAAATGCCATCATTAAGGTGGCGTTCTTCTCAATATTACCTATACAAATGATAGATCAAATTTAGTCCCTTAACAATTAAATATGTAATATGTCAAATTGCTAAAGAAAATCTTTTAATTTCAGCCACCTGATGGTGTGTTTAAATCTGATCGCCAAAAGTAAATTTTAATGCATAGCCTACCATTCATCAAAACATTGTCAAATAAATTACATCAGAACTTATCTCAAGTTTCATAATGACAGGAAAAAAATGGCACAACGGCAAAAAATGCGATCAGGATATCCTCCACTCGCAAAATTTAAGTCAAGCCAGCTGCCACAGCGATTGTTAATACTGTGCATTACGGTAATCTGCGGCCGGCGAGCAGCGGTGGGCACCTTCAAAATAAAAGCTTCACAACTCATGATTGCACGTCAGTGGTTTGGATTTATCATGTTATAAAATAATTTTTTAGTGGTCAGGCAACATAAGTTCACCCAGGGAGAGTGAAAACTGTCTCAGAATAGCACCATGAAACGTTCTGAAGTAGAATATTAAAAAAAAAAAAGTTAACGTTAACTCAACACCAATGAGTGAAATTACACCTGGTTAAAAAAAAAATCAGTTAAAAATTCAGTTTGCATTATCCTGCAACCAGGTGTAGTGCACACTAAGCTACTCCAGGTATCCAGCCATAATACTTTCATTAAGATCTTCTGTTACATTTCAAAATAAAAGGCCTCTGAAATCTGCAAATTGGACTTTTACACCTGATTTTAAAAAAAATACTAAAAATGAAAACTTTAATGTCCTGGTTAGCGGATAACAAAAACTGATTTTGAAATTCAGGTGTATAGTTCAAAATATCAGATTTCACATAACTTTTATTTTGAGATGCATCATCAGATTCGAATAAAAGCACTGTGGTTGCACATCTGGGGTGGCCTAGTGTTCCCTTGACCTAGTCTGGTTCCGGGATCACGAAAATTCATTTTTTGATGATTTTTTTTTTCAAACAGGTGTAATTTTAGTCATCGATGTAGAGTTATTTTATAACATCATATAAAACCCAAACCATTGACGTGCATGCATTAGTTGTAAAGCTTTTATTTTGAAAATGACCAGCGCCGTTCGCTGGCTGCAGCTTGCCGTAATGCCCAGTATTAACAATCACTGCGGCGCCTGGCTTGAATTCAATTTGCGAGTGGAAGCTGGCCAGACCGCAGTGGTACAAAGTGGAGTACAACTGAGAAGAAATGTGCAGTACCTGTGCCCACAACAAGGGTCTTCGCTCCACAACTCTCAATGCAGTGAAGCAAAGACTTGGCTTTGATGTTAGTGTTAAGAAACGCGACTTCACATCCCAGTTTACTCAATCCCAGCCACACACAAATAAAATCCGGTTCGTTGCACATCAAGAGAGCGACAATGTTTCCTTGTTTCAATGGTGCCTCCCTGAATGCGTTCGCGAACTGATTACTTCTTAGGTCCACATCTTGATACGTTAGCATCTGGTTTTCAAAGATAATGAAGGGCTTGTTCGGGTTCCTATTCGCCTGGAGGAGAAAGCAGTCCAAATATGTGATGATTCCTTGCTGCATGCGAGCTTGCAACGACTTTCTGTACATCCGGAGTTTCAAATAATACTTTAAATCCACCCACAAAAAGGGATAATATATTCTCTGATAGAAAAGAAGAGGCAGCAAAGCCGCCAAAATACTAGTGAAGACATAAGTCAACATCTTCGTGTGAAAATCCGACTTGTTGCAAAACGTTTGACAAGCAGCAGCGATGAATGGGTGGAGGAACACCGCAGGGGAAGCCACAACTATTTATTGGCAGTTCAACAGGAACCTATCATTGGCCAGAATGCAACTGCGCAGTCTTCAAGTCGCTCTTATATCGAGAAACATTTTCGGACACCCAGACAAAATTACCATATCATTAAGTGTAAAGACTGCGTTCACAACTCAGGTAAGCTACGGACCATTTAAAAAAACAAAACCAAAAAAAAAAAAAAAAAAAAAAAACAACCATACTGTTCTCCGGGCATGGATGCAAGGGTACAGTATGCTGTGAATTGGGAATTTCTCCATTGCGAGACTAATAAAGGTTTTCTTAAACTTAAACTTATACTGTACATAGTGCTCGATCACAAACACTAAAAATAGTTTTTTTTCACGTTTTTGGACAGGTACACACACATAAATATACAAAGATACACGCACACAAACATATACAATGCATATGAAGTAATGATTTTCAAATCCTTATCAACCTGTATTCAATTGGATATATGACAGAGACAAGATGTTCAAACTGATCAATCACCTTTTCCTGTAATATTTGTTGTGTACATTGAGTCTGCGTTTAGAGTCCACTTATGTCCCTGACAACTCTTCCCAGTCAGCAAAGGCATCTGGCCCGGATTCGGCATGAAGCCGGCACAGCTGGCCTTGTGTCGGCAATGGCATAACGCATGTGGGCCGAACACGCCCCAGGCGTGGCAAAGGAGGCACTGGCTTGACTCTGGCAAACCAGATGAGGGCCAGTTGTGGCGTGAAGTATTTGGGCCAGAAATCAATTTCCAACTCCGGCCCGAATATGGCCAGCCAG